CCCATAAAGCTAAGGTGAAATTTCCTACTATCACAAATGGAATTAACAACACAGATAATACTGCTATCAGTGCCCTCTGGCTTGCCCCTTCTTTCTGTGGTGTCTTGATGCCAAGGGGCTATTTAGAAGAAGGATTTCTTCATTTACCAAATATTTACTAAGCAGCACTATGTGTCAAACACATAAAACTACCAGCCTAGGATAATCAGGACATCTATAAAATAGTCCAAACAAAAGCTAAGGCATATTTTTCCCATGTCCACCCTAGAAATAATAAAATCATATACCTTTATAATTATGGTTATTTGTAATACTTACTACACATGAAATGTTTTTCTTCTCGTGTAATTTTAGTTTTAATATCACATGATTCCTCACATTCTTCCTTATAAACAGTATCATTTCTCTTACTTTCATCTTTTATATGAGATACATTTTCTACAATGTTAACTACTGGAGAATCCTTTATAATAAAAAAAACAGAAATAAGAAAAAATATATGAAGCACGTTATATGGTCTAATTGCACAATAAATAAAAAGACTAAAGGGAAAAGATGAGATGTAAGGACATAAAAATGATTATTAGAAAAAAAAACATGTTAATAAATTGGTTAGTTCAAACTTCCAGAAATAAACCTTATGGGTAGATTTGAAGTATGAATAATAAGTGTATGTTAATTCAGTACTTTTGTTCTCTTTTCTTCTCAAATTTCAAAAGGACTTACAGTCATCCCTTGGTATCCACAGGGATTGACATCCAAATCTACAGTTGCTCAAGTCCTCATGTAAAATGGCATAGTATTTGCATATAAACTATACATATCTTCCTGCATACTTTAAATTATATCTAGATGACCTGTAATGCCTAATTAATGTAAATGCTGTGTAAATAGTAATGCTGTATTATTTAGGGAATAATAACAGATGAAACCATCGTAGGCCTAACTACACGATAAACATAGCAACAATGTAACTCTTTCCCTAAATATTTTCAATCTACAGTTAGTTGAATCTGTGGATGTAGAACCCGTGGGTACAGAAAGCCAACAGCACTTAGAGTCTACGGTCTATAACCATGGCTGTGTGGCTTTAACGTTTGCACATTTGGGGGTGTGATACTGTGCTGAGCCATCCCCCTTTTAGGAATCTGCAATTTTAAGTTCCTTGAACATGGACTAAGAGGGTTCCGTACAACATTTCTATGCCAAATGGACTTTCTGCCACCAGTTATTAGGAATCATATTGAGGAGTAGAGGTTGAGGAATGTGTAAGAGAATTGTCACCTTTGTGTAAGCTAACAATTTAAAAGTAAAATACTCAGGTTTGAAAGGTAGCAATAATAACAGAAAAAAAGCATGGAATTTTGCTTTGCAAAATTAACAACAGATGTCATTTTAAAAAGCAAACTGCAGCTGTCATTCCAACAATATCTACTCTGTTAGTACTCTGGTTTCTTCAATGTTAAAATACTCTTTGATAGAAGTTATATCGATTTTAATGCTAAGTTATATTTCTTTAATAACAAGCTTTGTCCTCCTTAGACCTGGATATTGAGAGAATGATAAACATATTTTGTTACATAGATTTATTTTTAACTTCTTGCTCCTTCTCTTCTACTCCTATAATAACTGACATACCAGATGTTTTCAAAAACCTACATTCTAGGTTATTTTTTTCAGATTTAAATGAGATTCTTAAATAGTATTTTAGAGAATTAGATTATTAATATTTCTGTAGCTTAACCTTGGAACTTCAGAATTTGGTATCTATAGAGTAGTAAATACATTTCATAATGTTTGAAAATATATAAACCAATATTTAAATATGTAACATTCAAATCACCATCTCTTCATAGTATTATCTACACTATATTAAGTTATTACTCTGACATTATTTTAAATAACATTTTCTAACATCCTAGGTAACCACTCACAGACTATATTGGAAATGTGAAAATTTATAGAATAGTGTTTTTATAAGTGAAGTGAATCTTTTTTTTTTACTTACCAGATAGTTCATTATCAAAGTTAATCAGAAAGTTGATGGCTAGTTTTTAACCTAGGCCTGCAATTTGAATAAAATATTTTCACAAGAAATAGGTTAAGAGTCAATCCTCAGTTTATGGTTTCCTACATTTACAAATAACATCATTTAAGCAGAGTTTCAACATTTCTAAATAAATACTTTAATTTTTCCATAAATTATATTGGGTGGTATAATTAATCTTTTCAAACATCTAATATAAGTATTTAAAACCATATAATCATGCTTTCCTAGCTAAAATAATATTGCTGAAATTCTTACCGTAGATTGATGTACACAGTTACCTTGTATAGTTTCTCCACAAATAAAAATACATATATTAAAGAACAAGAGTGAGACTTGGGAAAGATACATTTTTCTTGGAGAAATAAAAAAACTTCTTCAAATATCAGTCAGCTCTCTGTGGAAAGAACTACAGTGCATAGAGTCTTGAGTCAAAAATTTCTGGAAAGTGTACAACAAAAACAGAAGCCAATACTTACTGGTTTCCATGCCTTCATTCAAAATAGCACCCTTCACATAAAAAACAAGGTAGCTTCTAGAGATGCTGTCATTTGAAGTTATAAATCCCCCCCTTTTTTTTCACTACAGGTATTCATTATAAATCCATGCCTTTTTATTATGAGCAATAAATAGCTAGATCATGAATTTATAAAGTCACCTAGTTTTTATGAGTCAGATTTTTTTTTTGCATTAGAAAAAAATGCCTTTGATAAGATATACCTCAATAATTATGAGCCAGTTTGAATAAAAATGATAAGTGGAAATAAGTGATGGTGTGGAAATAGTTTTACATTGGAACTATTTCTACAAAATGCTAAGTAGAAATTTAATCAATGAGGACATTCAGAGTAGATAGATAATTCAGAGTTAAAATATGCTTCTAACTGAATTTAGCTATCAATAATGGTTGTATTAACCTCATAAATGCCAAATATCTAGGACTCTAATTGATGTGTATGTTTTATATCTAGATTGTTAAAACTTAAAAGTTTTTGAACATACGGGAACTGTTGTTATTGAAAATTACCACGCTCTGAAAGTTGATAGATCAATGTCTGTGACAAGTCTTCATTTTCCCATACAATGCCTCCTTCTCTTCATTATGCAAATATAACTAAGTCTTCTCTCTCTTAAAATTAAGAGGCAAAGCAAAACTTTCCTGAGTCTTGCTTCCTATTCAAGGCTTTATTTTCTCTATTTCCTGTCCTAGTCTGAGAACCACAGAGCAGAAACCATCCTTTTTATAGTTCTAGCATAGTGATCCTATCTAATAAAAGACAAATAGGGTAATTAACGGTACCTCCGATACGCTTCCCATTGGTTAATCAGGGCGATATACAAATTAATTGCCAACCAAGATGGCGGCCGGCAGCCACGCAGCTGAAACTAACATGAGGCTTGGTTGCTCCAGTGATGGAGGAAGCCAAGGTTCCCGGCCTGCCGTGGCCCGGCTCTGAGCTCCAGATGCAATAATGTTTCAATTATAGAAGCTAAACAAACCCAGATACCTGCTTTCAGCCAGCCGAGGTCTCAGAGCTGGAACTGCAAAAGTGTTTCAATTATAGAAGCCAAACAAACCCCAGATACCTGCTTTCAGCAGCCGAGGCCTCAAGCTGGAGCCAGGCCTCAGAGCTGGAGCCAGCTCTCAGCTCCAGTGACAGCCATAGAAGGTAAATAAATCCCAGAATAAAAAAAAA